ATCTACGAAACCTTTTTTGAGGGTTCGGTAAAACTCCTTTTTTTTTACAGTGCACACCCATACCCACACTCACATCCCACACCCCACACCCACCCACACCGACACCCACATCCACACCCACATCCTCACCAACACCCACCCACATCTCACACCCACACCTCACACCCACCCACACCTTCACCCACACCTACACTCACACCCACACCCACCCACACCCACACCCCACACCCACACCCTCACTCACATCCACACCCACACCACACCCATACTCACACCCACACCCTCATTGTGAGGGTGTGCGTGTGGGGTGTGGGGTGTGGGGTGTGGGGTGTGGCTATTTTTGTCAAAAGAAATAGCATCCACTTCCGCACACTCAAAATCCACAACTCTCTTATCTCCAAGGTTTATAGATTTATTCTGGATCATGCATTCTGGGGATCGCCACCTAATCAAAGCGTTTTCAACAAAGAAATAAGCAGCGATACGCTTGAATACAAATATATGTTCTGAAGAAATTATTCTGTCGCTAATGTTTGCACTTGTTTTGGAATATTGACTAACTGGTAATCACCAACAGATGCCAAATTCCCATTTTCAAACTGAGTCAGTTCAAATGTGACGATTCCATTATGAAATTGTCCACTACCTCCATAACTTCGTGTTCCAACATTAAATGAGTATGTGCCAGATGGAAGAAAAACAAATGCTACTCGTGTGATCGGTATTTCCGATCTTACACTTGCTGAATAGTAATATCCCCCTTGTCGATCAACTTGCATAACTGAGCCCATACCATAATTTGCTCTCTGAATCGTATTCGGCACAAGTTTGTTACCAATAATTAGAAGATCATTCACCATTATTTGAACATATTGCTCGAGTTCTACAGCATTTCTCCCGAAGTCTCCTTGAAGTGTGATTTTAAACAGTGTGTTTCGTGTCACATAAAATGCATGGCTCAGATTGGGTACATAAAGGAAATTGTCGCTTGGTGGACTATAGAAGTCAGATAGTTGGTTTTTTACAAAAACCTCGTGCAATTGTATCCTGGATGTTGGCGGTAGAGTCTTGGCTATTAGAGATGATGCTGATACTGTCAGTGTGCCTTTGATCATCGAAAAAAAACAAATTTTCAAAGAATTTCTATATCGAAATTTCTTTTTAAAGAAACATACTCTTTCAGAGGAAAATGCATACAGATGCTTGTTTGCATAAGACTTGTGGGCTCTGTTCTCTTCCCATCTATTTTGTTAAATTTCTCTCAAAGGATCCTATTTCTGCAGAATGCAGACCATTTCAAGATACGGTTAGGATTTATATGTTAAATTATATATCTGAAGATTTCCGTATATTTTAAGTAGAAATCCGATATATTTCCACTTTTGGAAGAGCTTAAAAAACCGAAATAAATACATCAGGATTTCCTTTTTCTTTTTTTTTTCTGATTAAATAGTGTACTGTGAAAACGTTTCAAATGGTACAGTCTCACATCTGCTTATCGAAAATCTGATCAACGTTTCTTGGATTTAGTCGCTTAATATTGCCTTTTATGAACACTTTCAATTAGTGACCTTCAAGAACCTAGCACATTTATTTACTCTTTTGGTATATATCTCGTGCATAAAACAGTTTAAAGTTACTAAAGAAGCATAAATATAAACATGAAGGGTTTATCATTGACCGCTCAATGAAAATCGTACAATTATAAACCCTTTAACAAAGGGATCATCTCACGAGGTATGCTTAGATTTCAAAAAAAGAAAACTTCACAAATTTTCTTAAAATCCACATTGACACAAAGACAAAACTCTGAAATTTGGAAATACTGGAGAGCATTTTCTAAATTTCTTTTTTGTGAAAATCTGAACATTGCTGAACTCTGTTGATATGACTCTAAAAGGACTTATAAACACATTGTGTCCTAAATGTGTATGTTTGTAAATGTTCACAAACTCTTTCGAGGCTGTTCAATAGGAAGTGGCTATGAAAGAGCATGTTTGAAGAATAAACTCTAACAGGGTTCATATGATTTGAGATCAACGGATACGAGGGTTTGTTGTTACAGACATTTTTTTACGGTTTGATTGGCGAATCAGAAGGATTTCCATGAAATCAAAATACTCAAATGTTTTTAATGATCATTCTTTGGTATATGATCTAAAGTGGATAAACATTAAAAAATTGGACTCAAGTGGCCAGAAAAATCTGTAGAAGAATGTCATGTATGAGTACATTTCAAAAATTCAAGCATACTCACGAAGACAGTAGTTATGGAAATGCGATTTGTCTTCCTCTCTCTTCTATAGGTCTATAACCTAGAGTCTATTTTTCAAACCAAAACATTCCTCCACACTTACAGATGAGTATTGACGAATAAACAAGAACAGCCCAATATGAAGCTAATCCAATTACCATGGTTGTTTGAAAATGGTGAATATCGCCCAGTTATGAATTGAAGTCGCACGGTTTGATTTGCGTAGCAGTTGTCGTTTGCCTTGCTAAATAAGTATATATACAGGCTGGGCGAAAAATTCTGGGACACTCGAGAACGCCTTTCCAAAATTTTCTATTTTATTCGAATAAAAGATCCTGTCGAATAAGGTGACAAATTCCGAAACCAAATATACCATCTTATAGAGAAATTCAAGGTGCATCGAATGGTATATAATAAGTATATTTTCTAAAAAGTCTAGATGTAGTTATGATCAATTTACTAATGGAGAGAATGTTGGGAAACCATTCTTGCGTGTCCCAGAATTTTTTGCTCAGCTTGTATATATATGTATGTATGTACAGTGGCTCCAAAAATGATCCGTACAGCTGATGTGACTCCATTATTCGATTCTACTGTTTATGAGGTATTTGAGCTAAAGAGGGTGTGAATGTGGCACAGTGGATAATCACGCGGATTTGAACTCAAGTTCTATTTTCCAAATTTTATATATTGGAATGAAAACTTCTATGGTTGGTCTATCTAACCCTTAAACTAGATTTCCAGGAAACAACTGGAAACGTTGGAAAGTCCATCGTGAAAAAATTGTTCATAAATCTGTAAAGCATACGAAAATCATCTCTTTTATTAACTAATTGTTTGCGTCATCAGATGGCAATCTATGACGCTAAATCATCTGTTCTTTGTTATTGGTTTAACTCATCCTCTTTGATATTTTCTCTGGATATTACAGTGATTATTCTCTCTCAGTGATCTTCCTCTCCAGTTGGTGACTTTCCTCTTCATTTCAGTTGTTGTTTTTTTCTCACCCCAGTGAGATTGTTATCTCTACCCTGATTGTCATTTCCCATCGTTTTCGACATTATCATATTTGCAGTGTTTTTATCTATATCAATAAAACCACTTATCCTCATCTCCGTTACCTATCCCTTTATCAATATAACAAAGCCAGGTAAGCATATTTACTTTATTTGACGTGAGAGTTCTCGTTTACGGAGCAGACCAGAACTAAACATAATCGTCATCTAGGTCAAACCTTAGAGTCGGGCAAGAGTATTAGGCATCTCATAAAAAGAGAGTTTCACACTAATCAAAATATTCTAATATGAAAAACTATCTGAAACGAATGATTGGCCCCAGGGGTGGATCTTTATCTTTACTTTAACGAGCAAAGTAAAGTAGACTTACCTGATTTTACTGGTAAAGTAAAGTTGGGTAACTTTACTTTACTTTACTCAGTAAAGTTGGCCTACTTTACTTTACCCAAAAAGTAAAGTATCTCTTACTTTACAGAAAAAGTTAGATGAAGTAATATAAGATAAAGTGAAGCATGTAGTTGATGATTATTGGTTTATTAGTTCATTATCACACATTAAGCACATTCTAATACGTCAAAAGTTGCGTCGGAATACGAACCGAGAGCTCCGAATAATCTGAACCTATTTTTAATATCTTGAGAATCAGCATTGAGCCCTCACTATTTTTCAAAATTTTAATTTTTACTTTATCACAACCCAACTTTTCACACCTAGGTTTCCCTTCAGGTGTCGAAAAAAAAATTTTTATTGCCGTCCTATTACAAAACTTTATAATTCAATAGTACCAAGTGTACTGATTACAAATATCTGATTTGTTTTCAAAAGTACTTAGGTAATAAGAAAGATAGAAAGGATCTCATGAAAGCCTTACAAACTAGCTTTTGACCAGAAACTTCATTAAAATAGGGCTCTACTTCGTCGACAACAGATTTATTTGACACAGAATTCTTTTCTCTACAAGCAACTATGAGAACGTGTTGAATGTTCGATTCATTCTATCGATAATTGGCAAAGAGCGCCACGAATAGGTCTGATTATCTCTCATAATATAGGTTGTCAACAAAGGTCTTGCGTTTTTTTAAAAATTTTCTAAAACATCCAAGAAAGTTCTAGAAGTTTCCATATTAAGGGTATATAAAGGAAGTGTGAATGACTTTCGAATGATAATAAAATCATTACTATGAACGTTGCTCTTGAACTGAAAATGAATCTTTCTCGTAAGAAAATTCGAGTGCTTTTACTTTATGAATTCCGTCTGGGTCACAAAGCAGCAGAAGCAGCCAACAACATATGCAGCACGAGGGGCGAGGATGTACTCTCCATTCGTACGGCACAACATTGGCTCAATCGCTTTAAGAATGGTAACTTTGAACTTGACGATTTACCTCGCTCCAGTAGATCACTGGGACTGGATGTGGATCTCTTAAGTCAGCTTATCGAAAAAGATCCTCGATTGTCTTTACGGTGTTTAGCAGAGCAGCTTGGATGCTCTTATACTGCAGTGGAAAAACATCTGAACGAATTAGGCAAGACATGTAGATATGAAGTTTGGATATCCCATGAGTTATCACCACATCAGCTTCAACACAGAGTTGATGCTTGTATGAATTTAATGACATCTCACCACAACTGCCAATGGCTCCGCAATCTTATCCCTGGCGATGAGAAGTGGGTATTGTACATTAACTACACGCACAGACGTCAGTGGCTGAGCGCTGGTCAAACAGGCATAGCAACATCTAAGACTGATCCGCATCCCAAGAAGGTGATGCTAAGCGTTTGGTGGGGAGTCAATGGGATTATTCAATGGAAAATTCTTCCAAATGGTTGCACCATGACTGCTGATTTCTACTGTCAACAGCTGGACCGAGTTGCCGAAAAACTCAAGGGAAGCAGGATCGAATTTACTATTTGCAAGATAACGCGAGACCCCATGTTGCAAAGTCGATGCGCGAAAAATTATTGAAGCTCGGATGGATAACCGTTCCTCATTTACCTTATTCTCCTGACCTGACTACAACTGACTACCATTTGTTTCATTCTCTTTCTAACCATATACGTGAGAAAAGGCTCAACGACGAGGACGACATCAAAATGGAACTTGCCAACTTCTTCGGTCAAAAGTCCCAGGACTTCTACGAACGCGGGATCCTATCCCTGTCAAAGCGTTGGCGATAAGTCATAAATAGTAGTGGTGCATATATAATTGAAAGCTAGTTGTACTGTTGTAGTTAAAAAATAAAAATAAAATTTTTGAAAAAAACGCAAAAACTTTGTTGAACATCTAATATTTTGTCAGCTTTACGAAATCAGAGTCTCTACAGGTGCCGTGGTCAGATTTCCTTACCAAGAGTGCAACTAAATGTATTCTTTCTAGTGACAATGCTTTCCACGTGAAAATTCATATCTAGTAAAATACTTTTGCTCACAATCCTATTCTTGAGACCTTCTTTGCTTCCTTTTTAGCTAACATTCTATGGTTTTCGAATAGAAAAATCCCATTTGACTCCACAAAAGTGCCATATCTGAACTGAACACACAAGACTGAGTAGGCCTATGTGGACAGAGACGCCCACTGGGTTGGGTTGAA